AAATAAAGATGTCAAGGGTTAGATATTAATAAAGATAATCAAGAAATCATTATTAATGATGTTCTTGATTGTAGTACTGAACAGTTTTAGCGTCTAGACAAAGGAAAAAAGGAGATGAAGAGTCTTTCAAAATAGAAAACAGATGTGAGGAGGTGGTTCTAGAAAATAATGAGGATGGGAACAACAGAGTAGCATTGGATATACACAACAGTATTGACAGAGGAAATGATACTCTTATTAATGGTCCTATGGAGTTGATGATAAAAAGAAATCTTGATATTAATAATGAGAAAAGTGCTGAAGAAAATATGGTTCATAGTAGAAATGAATTAGAAGAAGGTTGGATAATTCAAAAATCCTCCAGACAAAAGAAATTAAAAAGTAATCGTGAATTGAGTTATGTCAATACTGAAGCTGCCTTAATTCAAAATTTTGGAGAAGAATTAGTAAGAAATGTGAACATTATCCTTCTAGGAAAAATAGAGGGACCACTCTGATTAATGATGTTTAAGTTCCTCATTTGGAATAGTAGAGGGATGGCTAAAGCAATGGCCTCTAATCGGTTGAAAAATATTGTTAGAAAACATAATTTAAAGTTTTTCAGTATTTTAGAACCTATGGTTGCTATGCAAAATAATGAAAAGTATAAGAAAAAGAATGGCACATATAATATTGTTTCCAACAATAATACAAGATTTAGTTTCTTTGGAATGATTGCTTGAAAATTGATATCTTGATCAATCATGCTCAATTTCTTCATCTTAAAGTTTTTATTAATGATTCTTTTTATTATTTAAATGTTATTTATACAGGTTGTATGACGAATGATAGGTGGGAGCTGTGGAATCAATTAAAGGCTCTTAGAAATAATAATGAAGCTTGGCTTGTTGGAGGTTGCGACTTCGATATCATTGCTTCTGCTGATGAAAAGAAAGGTGGTAAACCTCCCAACATGAATTTATTTGTTGATTTTAATGATACTCTTTTTGATGCAAGATTAGTTGACTTGGGTTTTAAAGGAAACCTCTTTACTTGGTCAAGAGGTTTGGTTTTTGAAAGACTTAACAGATTTGTACTAAATGGATTAACACTTTTCATTCGACTATTATGCATCATTTGGCTATGTGTGCTTCAGATCATGCTCCTATCCTTATTGAAGCTAAAGATCAAAATATTAAAGTTTCATGTCATTTTAAATTTCTCAACATATGGATTCTTCATTCTTCTTCTTAAGCAATTTATTACGGATAACTGGTATATTAATGTGACAGGTACTTCTGGTTTTAAATTATGAATGCTTCAAAAAAATCTTGTTGAAAACCTGAAAAGCTGGAATAGAAATGTCTTTGGACAACTTCATGACGTGGTTTCTAAAGTTGAAGAAAATGTTAAAGCTTTAGATTTGGAATACTATAATAATGATATTAATTGAGAGGTTTTAATACAATGTTAGAAAAATCCGAACATTGCTATTGACATGGAGGAAACTTTCTTAGCTCAAAAAGCTAACAAACTCCATATGCGTGATGGAGGTTGTAACACTGCTTATTTTATTGCTTGCATTAAAAACAAAAGAATGATTAATTACATTTCTAAAATTAAGAGGAAGGATGATTCACGTTTAACTAATGTAAAAGATATTGAAAATGATGGTACAAACTTCTTTTCTAATATGTTTAAAAGTAATGGCTCTACCCTTTCCCTTATTAATTCTGAGTTGTATAATACTTCGTCTCTTTGCAATGATAGAAATCTTACTAGGATACCTTAGGTGGAAGAAATTAAAGGTATCTTAGATAGTATGGAGGATGGTAAGGGCGCAAGTCCTAATGGTTACTATGTGGAATTCTATAAAAGTAATTGGGACATTGTTAAAGATGCCCTGGTTAATACTATTCTAGATTTCTTTAAAGGTATTAATTTGCCTAAATATTTCAAATCTTCTACTATTATTTTAATTCCTAAAGAGAAGAGTACTAACGCTTGGGATTCTTATAGACCTATAAGTCTTAACATTGTTGTTTCCAAAATCATTTCTAAGATGGTGGTGAGAAGATTGCAACCTCTTCTTTCTAGCATTATCCGTACTAACCAATCAGCTTTTGTTAAAGAGAGAAATATTTGTGATAGTGCCTTAATTATGCATGAGCTTATTATAAATGTGGATAAAAAAGGCAATGACGGTAATGTGATATTCAAAATCGATATCAAAAAAAGCTTTTGATACCATTCAATGGGAATTTATTATTATTATTTTACATGCTATTGGGTTTAGAGAGGAGTTTTGTTTACTTATTAAAAGAATTCTTGATAATAATTTCTATTCCTTGTTGATCAATGGGAATAGTTGTGGTTTCTTTAAGGCTTCTAAAGGTATCAAGCAAGGAGATCCTATTTCTCCTATCCTTTTTATTATTGCTTTTGAATATATATCTAGGTGTGTAAATGCCTTATTACAGAAGTGCCCTAGTTTGAATTATCTTCATTGTGGGATGATTAGTATTTCATATCTTTGTTCTACTGATGATTTGGTAATTTTTACTAATGCTGGTAAAAGAGTTATCAAGCTTCTTTGGAAGGTTTTGGAGCATTTTCAGAATGCTTTTGGGTTGAAATTTTAATACTGCTAAGTGTTTCTTCTATTGTTCTAAATATGTCTCTTCTAGCAAGAAGAACTAGATTATGGATACTACTAAGTGTAATAAAGGTACTCTTCCTTTACTTTATTTGGGCTTTAATCTTCATAGGAAGCATAAAAGAGTTCATATTTTTTATACTTTGCTTGATAAAATTAGGAGGATTTTATCTTGGAAAACAAATTCTTTTCTTTGGGTGGTAGAATTACCATTCTTAAGAGCATTCTTACTTCTTATCCTCTTTACACCATGCAAATTATGAAAGCTCCTATCACTGTTATTAAAGGACTAGAAAGGATTTTTAATAAATTTCTTTGAGATGGTAATGGTAAGAATAATATACATTGGAAAAGTTGGGCCAAGCTTTGTAAACCTCTTGATAAAGGAAGCATGGGTTTTAGAAGCTTTGCTGATACTTTGAAGATTAATTATATGAAATTATGGTATAGGTTTCCTATGAATAATTCTTAGTGGTCTAATCTTTTAAAAGCCAAGTATTGCAATAATTAAATTCTACTATTTCGAAGCATGATTCTTTCATTTGGAGAGGGACGTTAAATGTAGTTGGTATCACTGAAAAGCTTATATGTTGGGATGTTGTTAAGGTGATGTATCCTTCTGGTATGAGGACTGGTTAGGCAATGGTCCTCTAGCTAATTTCTATGGTGACCCTCATAATGTTAATCTTAAAGTTAATGATATGTGGTGCGAGGATAATTGGGACAAAATGAGGTTGATTCACTTACTCCACTAGAATGATACTGATTTTATTAAAACTATTCCTATAAATAAAGATGCTGACAAAATTCCTAAACTGAAGAAGAATCCTGGAAATTCTATTGCTAAAACTTTTGCTAACTCTTTTCAAGTTTTTCAGGGAGATGATTTAAAATGGCTTTCGAATAAATGGGTCAAACCTTCTCAATCCTTTTTTTACTTGAAGATTGTTTCTTGGCATCCTCCCTACGGATGATATTTTAAAGCTTACGGGATTAAGAATTCCTTCACATTGTTTATTATGCAAATCAAATGAGAAATCTTATATTCATCTTTTGTGAAGTGCAGGTTTGCCAAAGAGGTTTGGAGACAGATTTTTTTTCTTTTTTGATATCAAAATGGTCGGAGATGGTTATTGGGACTCTATTGCAGAAATCCATGTGGAGTAGAAGAAACAAGGTAATGAATTATTTTCTATTATACCCATCATTGTTTTATGGTTTCTTTGGGTCACTAGAAATAATGCTAAACATAATGATATTGTTCCTAACAGCAAATAATGCTAAACATAATGATATTGTTCCTAACAGCAGGGATACTTACGCTATGATCATTAGATTTACCCTGAATTGCTTATCTTATCATGATTTTAATAAGAAAATAAGAACTAAGCTTACAGAATTATTTACTAAATTGAATATTAATATTCCTAGAGCTACTAAAAATGTGATTAACAAAGTTAGATGGTTGAAACTGATTGCTCCTTATATAAAAATTAATGTTGATGGACGTTGGAAAGAGGATAATGCTGGGGTTGGTGGTGTTTGTAGAGATTTTTTTTGGGCAGTGATTCACCGGTTTGCTGCTCCTTCTGTTTCGATTTCTCCTCTTGTTGTTGAGGCTGATGCTATGGTGTTTGGATTGTTGCTTGCTAAAAGGTTTGGCTGGAAGTATATTATTTTAGAAATGGATTCGGCTATTCTTTGGAATTATTGCGGGAATAATGCTGAAGAACATTGGAGTATTATGTTGCAAATGAAAAGCATTGTGGATTTGGCTGGAAAGATGAACATTAGCTGGTCTCATACAAACAAAAATGAGAATGAAGCTGCAAATTGGTGTGCTCGTGTTGTTGCTTTGCAGGATTCGGTTACTATTTCTAATAGTTTTCCTTGTTATCTTTTATCACTTTGTTTACTTGATCTGTGATGTTTTAGGTTCTTTTCTTTGTCCATTTCCTTTTGTGGTCCTGTTTGTTCTTTTCTGTTTTTGTTTGTATTTTCTTTTTTCTTGGGAAAAGGAAACCTAGTTTTCATGTAACTTCAACTCTCATTTTTCTAAAATGAAATATATGTTGCTTGAACATTGTTTGGGATCTTGCCAAGTACTTTTCTAATGTGATATAATAGTTCTTCCAGCAGATTTAAAAAGGGATGCTGCAGGTGGTTAGAAGCCAACGCAGAAACAAAGGATAGGGCGATGAAAGCAATCCTATTACAGCATTGTAAAATAAAAGAATTTTGACATGTTTTGCTTATTATGGATATTAACTCAGATGCAAAAGTGTGATATTGATCTTTCATGGAGTAATACAAATCAGTTTTATGTTAAAGCAACATTTTGAAAAGAAGGATAAGAAATCAAAACCTTTGCTTGCTCAGTGACAAGAATTTTAGAGAATATAGCGCTGTTTTCTTCAGATGAAATGCCCAAGGGAAACCCAAGCATCTCTCTGGACTTCACCCATAGTTGAGCGCATTCTCGGGCTAAACTGCTCCACATTACAGAATGCATATTACTAATAATTTGAAAATGTAACTGAATAAATTATAAATAAAAACAAGTTGCATAGCTATAAATATTTCCATAGAGTAAATCCCTGATAGTATATAACCCCTCCTGCCCACCAGTCACAACTCAGCTTTTTAAATAGCTCATTCAACCATTCCCAGTAACTAATAGAGCCACGTGATTTTAGCTGTTAAGGTAAAGAACATTTTAAGGGCAACAATTGGGTGCTAAAATGAGAGATCTGCATAAACGTTGACCGAAGCTTCACAACATAGATCTACAAGCATGTAGAAAAGGAGAGAGGAGATTGGCAACAAGGTAGCTTAATATTAGAGGCATGTTTCTGAATAATTAGATGAGAATGAAGGTAAGCATGCATGCATGAAAAGCATGCATGCATGAATTTGTGAACAGGTTTAACGTGCATAGATAGAAGCTTTACAGATGTCAGCCTGCACAAGCTCAAATGCATTCATGATAAAATGTTCCGGAAATATGTGGAATGTCAGAACATTTAGATTGCTTGGCTTTCTAATGTCCAGGCCAACCTTCGTTTGGGCAGCTTACATTAAATTTAATGGCCATTAGGCTCTGCCCATGCCTCTAAGGAGGTCCAAGCATTCATTCAGGCTGAGCCTAGTCAGTCTTCTCAAAATTTGCCCAACCCTTTTTCTAAGTATCAGCTAATAGCTTGAGAATTTATTTTTGTTTCTTAGGAGGGTAGGGTTGGGGGATGAGATTACACTTTTTATCTGGTAAAATTACCTCAATCTACATTGTGAAAAGGTTTTGACAGTTGTTTGAATAATTTAGTTATTGTAAAACAAAATAGGTGTTGGCAATAACTCCAATTCTTCTTGTGGAATGTATGGAATGTCTTATAGATGATACGCGTATCCATATTCAATTTCATCGTATCAAATAATATTGCAATGTCGAACGCTATTTGAAGATATAGTAGTAGTACTTGTTCGCCCTGAAAAGTGGATTTACTAAATGGCAAATAGACTTGATAAATTTATTTTAGTCAAGATTGTTTCATGATTCCAAGGTTGACCACTGATGTCAACTACAAAGATCTACATAATACCAGAGTTTACCCAATTCACAATAAAAATGCAAAAATTATTGTTGAAATCCAAATAGGTCACAATGACGACTCTTCAAAACAAGAAATAAACGATAAAAAATATAAAAGACACCCTAGGGCGACGATGAACGGGATGGATGGCAACTGGCCTGCACGTAGATGGTGCAGGTAGGGTTGGGACAGCAACCGGAATATAAGTAGGTGGCAGCAGAATTAAGAGGGTTGAAGATCGGTCCATGGCAGCATGTTGGATTAACTGATTAAAAGATATGCAAAAGAAGTGAAAATATTTATAAAAAATACGAACAACCAAGTAACGACATAAATATAATTATATTGTTAATTTAGTTTAATTGGTGACTTTTTCATTTGTTAAATAGTAAATGAATCTAAAAGCTTAATTCGCATCATTCGGTCATCTGTTCCTGTCTTGGTTAATTTCAAGCCCCAGGATGAGTCATGACAAAAATGGTATCAAAACAAGCCTTGCCTTAGGATTAATTAATGTGATTTTAATAAAAGAGTCAATATAGTAATTATAAAAAATATTTAATAATAATACAACAACAATAACAACAAGCATTTACTCCATTAAGTAGAGTCGGCTACATCAATAATTTTTCTCCATTGTGTCTTATTGTGTGTCATAGTTTCAATTAATTCTAATAAATTAAGATCATTTTTCATACAATAAGCCCAAGTCTTTTTAGGACTACCTTTATCTTTCTTAACATATATCGAATCTAAAAAATATACTCTCATAATCGGATCATCAGATGGTTGATGTATAATGTGACCAAACCATCAAAGACGACTCTCTAATTTTGTCCGTTAGTAGAGCTACACCAGCCCCACAGGAGCTACACCAACCCTATAACGGATATATTCATTTTGCATTTTGTCTCTAAGTGTAAAGCCAGCAATTCATTTTGCATTTTGTCTCTAACTGTAAAGCCAGCAATCCACCTAAAGCATTCTCATCTCGACAACACTTGACTTAGTTTTATGCTTCTCTTTTAAATGTTTAATAATAATAATAAGTAAAAAATATAAGCTAACTCAAATTAATAAATACCACCATTCAGACGTAGATTACACCTAAAATTTTAGAAGAAATGAGTAATAAAAAAATTATGAATAGTTTTTGTTGACCCTGCTTAAGGAGAGATGACTTGCAATCCATTTTTAAATTTCGATGATGAAACTTTTGCAAGTGGCGAAGATTCTGACATCCATTTTTTTTTTACCTATAGGAAAAGAAAGGAAGAACTGAAGTAGTGGAAGCGCGGGAGGTCGGGAAGCTTAAGAGGTTAAGTTCTCCCTATAAATTATCGTATGAGGGAGGCAAGAGCTTACGAGGAGAGTTTATTGGTGATTATGGGAGAACCTTCTTACACGCACGGTGAGCCGAAGAAGAAAAAGAAGAGAGTGGTGACGTGGAAGGCCGAGCGAGTCGGTGTGAGGAAGGAGGCACATGAGAGCTGACGTCGCGTGTTTTTAGAGTTCGTTCAAAGGAGGAGCTCTCGTGTAAGGAAGGAAGTGTGAATCCTGCGTGTAGAGGGGTTTGGTGCGAAAGAGAAGCAGTACGCAAAGGAGAAGGTAGAATCACATGAGGGGAGGAAGAATTTTGTTTTCGTTCACGTGATTAAGGGCTCAACCGAGTCTGTTATATATATATATATATATATATATATATTATGAAGCCCTAGGGCATATTATATTGAAATAAAAAAGGATACAAGAAGTTACATGAGATGGCCCAATAGATGATGCCTTACTCATACTATACATGGTACCAAGATATTAATATATATCTTTTTTATGAAGCCCTAGGGCAGATTATATTGAAATAAAAAAGGATACAAAAAGTTGCATGAGATGGCCCAATAGATGATGTCTTACTCATAATATACATGGTACCAAGATATCCCAAGGTATCATCCATTAAGTTTCCAAGCTGAACAGTGTCCCCAACCTTCTTCCTCCGCCAAGAAGTGTAAACTTGTCATTCTTCTTCTGAAGACTGTTCAGTCTGATCCGTAGAAGGAAAGGCTGTTGCAGCGATGAGTTTTTGAGTTTGTGTAGGACAGTCTTCCAATACATGGGAAACACCTGCCCTCTGAATAGGTAGTTCTACTAACTGATTAATATCGGTGTATCATCCATTAAGTTTCCAAGCTGAACAGTGTCCCCAACCTTCTTCCTCCGCCAAGAAGTGTAAACTTGTCATTCTTCTTCTGAAGACTGTTCAGTCTGATCCGTAGAAGGAAAGGCTGTTGCAGCGATGAGTTTTTGAGTTTGTGTAGGACAGTCTTCCAATACTTGGGAAACACCTGCCCCCTGAATAGGTAGTTCTACTAAATGATTAATACCAGCAAGATGGTTTGTGTTTAGCTCTAAATCTTCCTCATTAGTATTAGGAGACATCTTTTCCGTCATCTAAATATGAATGTTTGCTTCATCCTTATCTTCAATCACCTCATAGAGGGGAGCCTGAGCACCCTCCACGGTAGGTAGAGCTTGAGAGGATAGTATGTCCACTCCAATAGAAGAAGGGGCGGTGACCATGTCTTGACTTCCAGGAGCAACCACCTGACTCTCCTTCAAAATTTTCTGAAACAATATCAATAGACAAACTATTTTGCACCGTATCTGCCATGGGAATAGCAGTAGGTATTACAGGCAGTGAGGAAGAGGGTATAACCTCCACAGAAGTTTGCTGAGAAACAAAAGGTGGGGCTACAGCCGACCGTAGAAAGGGATGCAACCGATAACAGGATGAAGAGCTATGACCAAACATTCCACAGTGAGAG